CCAGATCACAAAGCCAGGGCAGCGGAGTCGCGCTCGTAAACTCAGCCACCCGGCGGCCTCTGGGGCAGTTACCACCAAGAAGCACGGAGGGCGGGGCGGGCCTGGCCTCGGGGAGGGGTGGGGGAAATGAGAAAGGTCCCGGATGTTGCCGAACCGGAGCCCCTTCTAGAGGGAGTGACTGGCGCAGGCGCAGGCGCAGAAGAACCGCACGAAAAGATGAGGTGGGGGTGGGGAGAGGTTTCCTTCTGACTGGCTTAGAGGAAGAGTGAGCTTGTGGAGGTCGCGAGGGGAAGGTTGCGGAGGATCCAGAGGGAAGGGGAGATAGTGTGGTAGTGGAGGAGGGCCTCCTGCCCAGGCGCGCTCGGGACAAGAGTGGAGAAGTTGGGAGCTGAGCGGGGTGGGGAGTGTCGGTAGCGGGAGAGGAGGCGCGCTCCTACGCTCGCCCTCTAGCGCGGGCGGGCGGGACGCGCGCGGTAGGGAGCGGCGGTTGCGCTGGGCCCCCAGAGCTGTGGGCACCAATCAACGGTTGCCATAGCAGCGTTTGACGTCATTGTGCGTGTGGTGCCCCTGCTGCCGGGGCTGGTGATTGGAGGAAACCCCGTGTCTGCGGAGCGTCTGTAGCCTGTGAGCAGCGAGATCCAGGGACAGAGTCTCAGCCTCGCCGCCGCTGCCGCCGCCCAGAGACTGCTGAGCCTCGGTCTTCGGTCCGCCACCCACTCCGGACACAGGTAGGGACGCCGCGGCCGCCTCGCCCTAATCCTTCCCGTCCCGGGCCAGCCTTCCCGAAAGCGCGGGGCCCGACCCCGCTCCGCAGCCCCGTAGCCCTGCTCGCCCCGCGGTAGCGGCGCTGGGCTGAGGCGGAGTCTCCTTTGGAGAGACGGGCGGCGGCTTCTCTTCCGCCGGACTCGGGCGGGCGGCTCGCGGCTGCCTCGGGCTATTTGCTTCCGAACCGATGTCTTGGGCTCGGAACGGCGCCCGTACCCGGCCCCCGGCCGCGGGAGTGGAAGGGCGCCCACACACGAGATCCCCGGGCGCCGGGGGTGGCCGAGGACTCCTGGCCGCGATCGCCGCCCACCCGCGCCCCGGTGTCCGCGCGGCCCCTTCCTCCTCGCCGCCCCGCACCCGCTTCCGCCCGAGATAATGACTCGGCGGCTGCGGGCATTGCAGTGGCGCAGGTGAGGCCGCCCCCCCCCCGCTCGCCCCCCCCCCCCCCTGCCGCTCCCGCCTGCTGCTCGGCGCAGTCTCCGCGCCCCGCGCTGCGGCGGCGGCACCCGGCCCTCCCCCCCTCGGGCGGCGGCGCGGCTGGAGGGCCGGCCCGCGACGGGGCCCCGAGCCGAGGCGCCCGCCAGGTAGATAGGGCGAGGCCGCGCTCTGGCGGGAGTCTTCGGGGTGGGGCCCGCCCGGACCGAGGGCCGAATTTCCTGGGTTCTGTGGTGGGGGCTGGACTTGACTTTCCTCGGGTGGGGTTGGGGGTGGGGCGGGCCTTTCCCCCTGCCCGCGAGCGGGGGCGCCGGGCCTCGGTGGCTTGAGGGAGACGAGGGGTCGGAGTATCGCTCTCGCCAGGCCACAGCCCGAGGGTCCCGGCCCTGGACCGGGCCGCGGGGCGGGTAAGCCGGGGAGTAACAGCCGGCGGGACCCGCTCGCCTGGGTGTGGCTCTGGCCCCCTCCCCCACCTGCTGCAGCTGTCGGGTCCTTCCAGACCCAACGAGCGCTGGTGCTCGGTGTCCAGTGGCGGGGCGACTCGGGCGGGAGAGTGGGGTGTGTCTGCGGCCTGGCGGGTCGTGGTTCCGCTTCTGCGGGCGGCGCTGGCGTCTCAGTCCCCGGGGCGGGCGACTGCTCCCCCTCCCTTTCCCCCAGCTCGGGCGGGGGCGCGGGGCTCCTCCCTCTCGCAGTGGTGGGGGGAATTAACACTCGGCTGTAGGTTGGGCTCCTTGACACAGATCCGCCATGACAAAGGGAGAGTCGGGGACTGGTGCGGAGGCACCAGCTTGGGCGGAGCCAAGGCGGGGGGTTGCGGAAAGCGCGGACGGAAGGATTTGCACTTTAAAGTCGCGGGCTGCTGGCGTTCGTTTCACCCTGTACGGCGTCTCTCGCCAGTTAAGGGTTAAATGGGTGCGGCGATTCCTCTCCGCAATACGGAGGCGAGGCTTTGGAGCACTAGTTATGCTGAGAAACCTAATCCACTTTCTTTGTACCCAAGGAATTGGGGAGCAAACCTATGTACCGATTTGAGATGGTTTTTTATTAGAAGAAGCATTAACCAGTGAGTGGTTTTGAGTTCCAAGAGGAAAAATAAGTATTTCGAGAAATGGGTGTGGGGGTAAGGGGTAAGCGATCACATTAAAGTGTTTTTCGCAATGGAACAGTATGCATCAAACCCAAGGTAGTTAATTATTTATTTAAAATACCGGGGACCAGAGCATTTCTTGTTTAATGTAGTGGGTTTTCCTTGGAAGGTAGAAGATATTAGGGAGATACTTCCCACATTGAGGAACACTGACTTCCATTCATCTTTTTATTAGTGCCATCCATCTTTTAATTAGTGGAGTTCAGACTGCACATTTTTCTTCAAAGTCGTTTCTTCGGTAGGGTTTTGTCATCTTTCCATCTTTCTGTGCTATTTTCAAAAGAATATCTTTAAAGAAAAGAATCATAAAGGTAAATTTAAAAGCCTACAGGGTCTTTTTAATATTAGCGGTGATTGACCTAACAGTTTCAGGTGTTTTGCATGACTAAATTCTTAGATACTTGAATTAGGGAATTTTTTTTTTTTTGAATTTAGAATGAAAGAAAATTAGGTAATCTCATAAAGGGCTTCTTGATTGATAATATTAATTTTGACTAAGGAAATAGTAAATTCTATCCTTTTAGCTGGAATATGACATAGGAAACATTTGCTTAATACATTCAGTGCACAGAAAGTAAGAGTTGGTGTTCCATTATTCAGATATATTTTGCACCCACCAGAGTACAGATAAAGGAGGCCTTAGGCTCAGATACTCAGATAATTAAGATTGTCTTTGCTTGTGACTCTATGTTGAAAATAGCTGGGTTCCTTTCTCCCAGAAAATTGTCATGGTGTGATTAATTGACAAAGGTAGCAAAGATTTAGGAGATTAAAACCATCTAAAACTTAAATTCTCCTGATGAGTTGGTTTTAAGACCTCAGATACATTTATGTGAATCATGGTTTTGGAGGTGTGAATCTTGTAGGCAGTGCTTCATTAAAGAAAAACTGCTTAATTTTGGATTACTGAGTGATACTGGAAGCTGGAATTGAGGTGATTGGCAAAGAAAGTTAAGGATTTTTAAAGGCAACTTCTTTACCCAACTTGATTTCTGTGTGAAATTAGGATTTTTTGGCTAACTAAACAATGTTGATGGCTTTAAACTTACCCTCTGTATGCTGTTTTTTTTCCCCCCTATTCTTACCATCCTTTTATAAATCTGCGTTTTGATTTCTCACAGGAGGACTCTTTAAATTGGCCAATTGGGTTATGAGGTATTAGTTGAGCTGATTTTACAGCAGATATAACTTAAGTCTGTTTTGATGAAAAAAAAGCCTAAATGCTATTTTTCCCCCTGCAGAACATCCAATCATGGATAAAAATGAGCTGGTGCAGAAGGCCAAACTGGCCGAGCAGGCTGAGCGATATGACGACATGGCAGCCTGCATGAAGTCTGTAACTGAGCAAGGAGCTGAATTATCCAATGAGGAGAGGAATCTTCTCTCAGTTGCTTATAAAAATGTTGTAGGAGCCCGTAGGTCATCTTGGAGGGTCGTTTCAAGTATTGAGCAAAAGACGGAAGGTGCTGAGAAAAAGCAGCAGATGGCTCGAGAATACAGAGAGAAAATTGAAACTGAGCTAAGAGATATCTGCAATGATGTACTGGTAAGAATGAAACATTTGATCTAGCTTTACTGTAACATCCCTGGAAGTGAATATTCTATTATTCTCAACTTTTCCTTTCATTAGTTTTCCTTTTTCTCTTAGAGTGTTCTTAAAAAAAGTGTGTTCTAAATTTCAAAGTCAGTGCTAAAAAATGTTACAATTAGTAGTACTTTGGTTTGTATGTAATAAGTGCAGTAATGGTTAACAGATCAGATAGGCAAAAAGTACAGAATAAAGGTGAACTAATAGTATTAACAATTTTGGTTAGAATATTTGTAGTTTTAGAGCTAATTTTCTTAAATGTCCATGAAAGGATACACAGGTATTGTTTTGTGTAAGAGAGATAATAATAAGAGTTTCACTCGGTAGACATAATCACTGGTCTCACTACTATAGTGTTAAATGTCATGAATCAGAAAATCACTTCAGTTGCCTTTGCTCTGTCTGCACTTAAGTGTTGGAAATCAACTTTGAACACTAACAATTGCGATGAAAGGTTATGTGTAATTCAAGGGAGTTTAAATCTGAGGATGAAGTGGTAGATCCAGCGTGTAGCATATAATATCCTAGATAAGTTATTAACTTTACATTTTAGTGAACAGGGAATTTTTGAAATAATATTTTTAAAGTGATTTACTAAAAGATTATACTATAGGACTTCAGGTTACATATCCAGTCTCTATGGCAGTGTTCTGGTCTATAGATAGGCAGTATCCAAGTTTCTCTGGACAGGTATTACTAATTCTGGTACTCTGTATGGAAATCCAAATGCTTGATTACCAGTTGAACCTTGTTTGTGAAAGAACTGTAATAAGCAATTTAGCATTATTTCTGGTGTGTTCTAGGTTTGGGATTTTAAAGTTGTAGTATTATGATTGCTTTACACTGATCTTTAGTTACTAAATGGAATATCTTCAGTACTTAAGTTGTGTATTTTTTTCAGGTTATATTTTTAAAGGACAGTGATATTTTATTTATTTGTAAACAACTGTCATTTCTAATAATTCCATACTTCTATTGTGGCTAAATAACAAATGCTTAGCTTGTGACTTGCTAAGATAATGAGAATCATTAAAATTTGAACATATCTTGTTTTTCTGTAATGAAAAAATGCTTGGTCCATTCCTCATTGCTGACTAGTACCTGTATACTGAATTTTGTTCATTCTGATGTTTTTATTCCAACTTTTATTCCTGTCATTTTTATTCTGGCTTCCTTGCAACTTATTTCCCTTGACACAAAAGTCCATTTTGTGGGAATAAAGGGGTTGGGATGGTGGTGGTTAACATTTTCTACCAATGTTTTTGCTACCGCGGGTAGGTATTTGCATGTTTTCCACACACAAAGTATAAGTTCTTGCCATTGTAGGACTTTTCCTGGGAAAACAGTATAGTTTTGTTTACCTCTCAAAGAAAAAAAGAATGATTCCATAGAACAGTGGATGAGAATAACTAGATAATCTAGATTCTCTGTCGATAAGGTTATCAAAGGGGTTGTTACTGGTCACTACCCATGTTCAGAATAACATCAAGTCTAAATGAAATTCTCATTTTATACAGATACAAAGTTAATTTCTTTACCATACAAATAGCTCAGGGAACTCTATAAACAGAAAGCTCTGTTAGTGATCTTTCCATGGTTCTATACTAACTGTAGTAACTATGCTATACTGACATACAGTAAATACATAATTATGCGTTAAATACATGAACTAAAGGGTTTCGGGGGTGGGGAGGATAGGATAATAGGATTAGGTCAGCAATAAACTCTTTGAACCATTAAATTAGTGAACGTGTCCTTCAAGTAAGTGTATTTTAAGATCTAACATGATAAAATACAATTGTAGTTTTTTTGTTTTGTTTAGTTTTTTCTGGCTTGCTTTGTTTGTTTTTTTTTTTTTTTTGGTAAGTAAAGTAAGCCAGTAATCTTTCAGAGTTAATTTTATTAGCTGGTAGTGTCGTTAATGAATTAGACTTAATTGTTTTATTGAGCACATGTATCATTGGCAAGAAAAGATCCTCTTGCTGCTAACCTCCAGAGTTCTAAGTATTTCTAATATTAAAAAGTTCTATCATTCTGGTTCTATGCACTTTTCAAGTCTTTATACCATTTACTAAATAGAGAAATAACAGGAGTTGTGTTATCTTGTATAAGTTGTAGAGCACTACTGTGGTAAATGGTTGGAGGGTGTGTTAACATGGATTTTTCATTATACAAAAGAACTTGGTGATCTTTTCATTCTTGTAATGTTAATTTGAAATTGTAATATATGAACTAATGCATTCTGCCTTTCCTGCCACATCTTGGCCCAAAAGCGCTGTTGGTAGTGGGATAGGGACTCAGCGTTAAAGATCTTTAACATGTACATAAATTGAAAATTTTTGTTTAGAGCATGATGAATTGAAAAACAAAATGAACTAATGTAAACTCAAAGAAGAATGTAGTGGTATAGAAGAGCTGTAGGCTTTGAGTCAAACCAACTTTTTACCATTTATAACTTCCTCACTTAGGGAAACCACTTTCCCTTTGGGAAGATGAACTCAATTAAATGGGCATAATATCCACCCCATAGATTGTTGTGGAGATGAGAATCAGGGAAGCACCCTAGCTATTTTTGCATCCTGTTGATCTCAATTTTGGGTTCTTTTTAAAAGTAGTAGCAACAATAGAAACCTGATGGAATTTAAAAAGATCCTGGAAGCTTTTGAAACAATATTTTTCTGGGGTAGAAGGTCTATACCAGCCAACAAATTTGCAAAGGTTTTGTTTAAAAATGTGAGTTAGGGTTCTCCCTGGTGGCACAGGGGTTAAAGCACAGTATGATAAAGCTATCCCAACCACTGCAGGACAAGTTCGATCTCTGGCCAGGGAGCTGACCCACATGGCATGGCAGACCTCTCCTGTCTCGCCTGTTGCTCCCCTCAGCAGTGTATATCACTAGATCTTCCTTTTCTGCTCTTGACTCTGTCTCAGTGAATCATTTCCCCCTCCACCTCTGGCCTGTACCCCACTTCTTATATGCATAAATAAATCTTAAAAAAAAAAAGTGTGAAAGTTAATGGCATAAAGAATGGCTTCCTTAGAGGAGGCAAGGAAAGTTGTAAAGTCCTGAGTTCCACATTTGTAGCAGTTGGCAGCAGTAGTTGAGTAATAGTGGTTCAGTTAACATGACAGTTTCATTTACTTAATGCTTCTATATTTGCTCAGGGCAGTTTTGAAGTGTGGTGTCTGGGCACTGATTTCTCCTCTTCAGCCCACATCACTGTCATTAAACAGAACAAGGTAGGAAACCAGGCAGCTTTTAGGTCATCCTTCCTAATCTGAATATAGTAATGGCTGCCTTTAACAATTATTGTTGTTTGTTTTTTTTTTTTAAGTTGAAAATTACGAATCAGCTCATGTATTAGAATAGGGTTTTTTATATTTATTTTTTAAAGATTTTCTTTATGTAGAGAGAACTCTAGGGTATAGGCCTGAGGTCTCAGGGTTAAGGGGGTAAGAGGATTCACCAGAGACAGTGGGGAGCAGAAGAGACAGGGAGGTCTGCTGTGCCATATGGGTTAGCTCCCTATCTGGGGGTCTAACTCATTGTCTTGGTGGCCGCTCAAGTAGCCGGATAGTGCTGAGACTGACTTGACCCCTGTGCCACGGGGGAGAGAATAAGGATTTTGTCAAAGAATACTGCAGTGTTATGTCCATCTTTACTACTAAAATGTTTGTCAAATAATGCTTTTGGTATATTTCAAAATACAAAGAACTTTGGTGACAACCCTTTGAGAAAAGAATACATTGGATAGAAAGAATCTTAACTGGCAATAAGTAAATGTGTTGATTTTTAAATTTTCATAATCATTAAGTGTACCTGCTGAGGTATTTTGTACAATGGGAAAGTTTTCAATTCTGTGAAATGGCAATGATGAATAAAGGAATGAAAAGTTAGGTGTTTGCTGTTTGGTGGGAAGGGCAAGAATAACCAATAACTTGATCAAGAGTACAGGTTACCTATCTTTTTTGATAACTTAAAAATAGGGTCCTTCCTACCTTTTCTAGTAAGAAATACAGATGAGTTGAATTGTGAAGATAGTTACAAGTGAACCGAGAAAGAAAAGATTTGAGATTGGAATTAGATTGAGAAACGAGTACAAATCTCAGTATAGGAAGAACATAAACACATAATCCATTGACTAGCAGAAACATTGAATAAAAAAGAGAGGGGAACTTTAGATTTATAATAGCTAACAGTGAGTAATTTTGTTTTCCCTTTTTTTCCTTCTTAAGAGCAGGAAGTCCTATTGGAAACCCCTCAATAGTGGTTTAGAAGTATCTTGTATAGTTGATTAATAAAAAATGAGATACGTAATCAGACTTGTTTTAAACATTTATCTTAAATTAGTTTGTGTTTTCTCATCTACAGTCCAGAATCTTGAAAATGGGCAGTTTTTCCTAATCTGAGCTACACAGCCCAAATGATTATGCAGCCAGTAGAACAACATAGTTTTGGAAACAAGTATAAAACTCATAGTAAGCATGTAATTAGTGAGATGCTAAAGAGGGTTCCAGAGAGGAGCCGGAAAGGGGGACCTTAAAGGCCTTGGAAAGCATTTAAAGCAAAGGAAATGACAACAGTTTGCCTCTTAGAGAAGATGGGTTGGTAGACATTAAACAATAAAAATAGTTCTGTCTTACCAAAAAGTCAGAACTGCTGTTTGATCTCTTTTAAGTTGGTTCTGTTTCTTAGATTAAATTCATCTGTCCTTTTAACTAATACCTGACTAGATTCTAAGTGTCTTCTATAATAGTTTGTTAATCAGTATATATTTAAAGGATTTTTTTTCTTTGAATTGGAGCACCTTTAATACAAATATGTATTATATATTTTTTCAGTTTTCATATCTGTTAAGTGATTTAGCACATACAGGGTAGCCCAGTTAGGAAACAGTTCTGTCTTTTATAATACTGAGTTAAATGTTATTAGTTTATATAGATTAATTTGACCATAA